ATATGGTTTTCTTTACAATAGGCTATGCTTGGCTCCTCGGTGCTGTAAATGGTGGCTTCAACTTAGTTTTTTTAAGAAAAATGTGTTTTATATATGTCTCTGTTTTAAAATATTTTTGTTACATATTTAACTATATATCATGTAAATAAATTTCTTTTAAAGATATGTAAACTTGATACTTGCTTTTTTACGGATTTTCAAAAAGTGAACAAAGCTTTAAATATATATTTTAACTGTCTTATATGATTTTATCAATTTTATTAAAGCTGAATAATTACTTCAAAAATGAGTAAAATCCAATTGCTTTTATTATTAACCAGATCTATACAAAAATTAATGAAATAAAAATAATAATTTAACGCCAAGTTAAGGTAAAATGTATTCCGGACATTTTATAAAATTAGTATAAATATGGATTGGATGTATGCTGAAATAAATATGTTGATACACGTTAGCTATTAAAGTAAATCTATATATTGCTTTATTATTTTTTTATAAACAAGTTTCTGCTGGATTACTAATTAAAAAAAGGTTGGTTTAATAATAATCTTTATCATAATAATATAGGATCCGTATGCAGGGCTAAGCCCTTTTCGGAAATGCGATATATTTTTCAACTTATAGTTTTTCAAGATATCCAACTTCTATGCCTACAAGTTTTGGTGTAATATTTTAGATGTTTTAAAAATATTTAAAAAGTACATTAATAACACTAAAAAGTTTAGATGCGATAGTGACATATTTTTAAGCTCTTCACTCAGTAAAATGAAAAGTTTAAAAAAAAAGAAACGACTCAGCCTAAAGCAAAATTGAGAGTAGAATATATTCCCAATATTTACCTAAACAATTTTACGGAATTTGAAAATTTGACATCGATGCTCTGTGCATATAATTCAAGTCATTTTTAATTACTACATGGTTGTGATTTGCGCATTCAATGTCTGAACATTGCAAAAGAAATGGTTAACTTTATCTTTAATGAAGCTAAAAGTTCTCTTAAACTAAGAAGCCAAGAAAAATAAAAGTGAGCTCAACTAAAAAAATGTATAAATAAATTTATATTTCATTAGAGAAAGTAAATAAAGATCAAATTGTTAGTAATTTTTTATTTACTACTAACCCGTATTACGGGTTGCTTACTGTATATATAAATTTATATTTTATTAGAGAAAGTAAATAAATAACAAATTTTTAGTAATGATTTATCAACTACTAACCCGTATTACGGGTTGCTTACTGCTAGTTCATACTATTCTGATTACAATTGTTACCTAAACAAACAAAAAAAATGCTGTGTGTTAAACAAACAAATATGCTTGTCATAAAATCTTCAAGTGAATTTTTTTGAATATAAATAAATCATAATTTTTTTAAATTTAAATAAATCATTAATTTAAGAAGAAAATTGTTTTAAATGTAACAAAATGAACAGCAAATAATTTTAAGAATGCAGGCACATGCGGGGATACAGCATTTGTTAACGTTTGAGGTTAACTTCCAAACATAAAACAAACTCCAAACCTATGTTTATACTTAAGTCAAATATAGGATGCTTTGCAAATAATTGTAATGATTGGACCCTGGAAATAAAAAGCCCTAAAATTTTAGCTATATCGTGTAACTACCCTAAACGTGAGAGCAACAAGTTGAAACATTCTCAACTAAATCTATATTCATCGAAAAACTTTAAAATTGACACAAAAATTTTTTGATGTTCGAAAACTATGAACAATAAAAAATTTGACCCCCTTCCCCCTCAATTTAAGGAGTTCAAACAATAATATTGTAATATTATTGTTTTATACATCAAAAAATAATATTGTCATATAACATAAACCAATATTATTAATATAAATAATATTTAACTAAATAATTTTAAGATCTTTCTTTGTTGCGTTCTTTAAAATTTTTTGGTGGTTCCTCTGAACTACCTAAATTACAAATACATAAGTTTATAAAAAGTACTACTTATACATTAACAATCATTATTATTAATAACAACTAAAAATCATTTATATTTCGTGCTATTGAACAAAATACCTGGAGAGTATCCTGAAGCCTGTCTTCATTTTATATTCTCTCAATGAAATCTTGAATTAACTAAATGTGGCATTCTGCATGGTCATTTACAACTGCAAGTATTCTTACCAGGGGTGTGGAGTTGTAAAAAAAAAGTACTGACTATGGCTCCGACTCCAGTCGTTGAAAAGTTCTTTGAGGTTTAGTATGAATATAAGGTTAATTGAATATTTTGTATATGCTTGTGCAATACCAAGAAGTTTTACTATGTAAAAATTCTTGGTATTGCACGTTGAGTCGGAGTCGCGATTTTGTTTAGCGACTCCGACTCTGATAAAAATGTCACAACTCTACGACTCCGACTCCACAGCCCTGGTTCTTAAAAAAGAAAAAGACTTGGAAACTTCCTCATTTTCACATGCTTAGATACCTTTTTCTTTCCATAGCATAATTTCCTTCTTGGAGATCTCCAATAGCAAGAACAAAAGGTAAGACTGCTCGTTGACCAAGTCTTCTAATTTTGATGTAGAAATAATTTCAACCTTAGTTTCAGGCATCTTTTTAATCAGATCTTTTAACTCTCGGATACCATAGGATAGCAGCTTGTTAGTCTTAACTTCAGTTTTCAGATTCTTATCAGCAGTAGCAAAAATTACTTGTTGCGGAGACAGATACCAAGTATGACAAATATGACTTTGGTAAAGAACCGTTCTTATTGCTGCAAATTCTTTAAACTCGTCTACTGTTTGTTGCGGAATAGCAATATTGAACGCTATTAATCATTTGAATGTGCTTGAGAAGCATTAGGGCTTTTTAGAAAGAAGAGTCCATGAAAAAATACAATGTAGTTGGTTGCAGCTTTCAGATGCTTTATTGTATTTTTATAACTATCTCGAAATCAGCAGGGTGGTACATTGGAATTATCTGAATAACCAGTAAGTATATACAGTCAGCCATAAATCTTGCCTCATGATGAGCTCCAGGCTGTTTAAATGAAAAGTCTGATAACTCAACTCAACCTAGAAAAAATGCCAGAAGCTCACAAAGATATTTGTAATCACCTCTTTGGAAAGTATTCTTATGAAGAGCTGTGATACAAAACTCTTTAGTATCCAAAGCAAGTTTGAACAGTAACAAGCTGGGGCTGAAAGCATCTTGAGACCAGTCAAACTTTACAATATTCTCAAGTTTATTTACATCTTGGTAAATCTGCGGCCATAGTTTTTGGAGAATTACATAAAGTTTCTTGGTGGGACCACTTGTTGGACCATAAATTTCTTCCATCACATGAGCCTCATGCCTTTCATAAATGTGATGTTTGCATATTAACCAGAGAACCAGCCTTTTAAGGACCTAGGAAATAATAATGCTTATGGTATCTTTATTTTTACCAGTGTTACTGGATGTTGTGGCAGAACACAATCCGATAATCTGACCCGACATTTCATAGTATTTAAGCATTGTTTGAATTGCAACAGCTTGATCACTTCCCTTGAAGGTTTCGATTTTTAAAATGTTAAGAAGAAAGTCTAGTGGACAAGACTCTGGTGAAGATGCGCTAATAGCAATTCTATCCTCATATTTAGATATTCCTTTTTCCTAATTATATCTCTTAAAAATGGTATAGAAATGTACTACAATTTTTAAACCTTTTATTTTATCTAGATTTTCCTCTCTAATTATCTGTGCGCCTCAGACTCCACAATATTATGAGTTTTCCTGTTTAGAGTTGATCTTGTTATTAACATATTAACTATATTTACTCCACCAGCCTTGTAAAGAGAAGACAAAAGACACATACCCGACCTGACTCCAACCCCAAATCTGGTCATAATTGGATTTCAATTGTTAAGGATATCTTCCATACTTAACTGAAGGCAAACTTTGATGTCACCCTAAAACCTTTTCTGTTTTTTGTGGAATTTAGCTGGAATATAGTTTGTCGCACTCAGTTTGATTGTCACTATCTGTGCTTGAAAAGTCACCATTCCAATAGTTACTCTCCTTTTTCTTATTACAAAATTTATTGTGCATGTCCTGAATCTGACATATCCTCTCTCAGACAAAGTCTCAAGAATTTTATTTTGTGTTCATTTATAGCCTCATCATCCCTATTTTTATCATTTTTTATTAAATCAAATATGTTTGTTTTATTAATAGAGAAGAGAGTACTGCCCTCTTTCAAAAAAGTGTTCACCTTCTTTTTTGAGCTACCCTCTGGTAATTCTAGTGTTTTTAGCATTTTTAAAGAGTGATATTGCTTGACTTCCTTTGTGATTCTGGTCTTGATAGTTTGCTCTGTCACAATGAAAACATCATTAAAACCTAGCCTGCTCCCATAAATTGACAAGCTCTCTCAGAATACATACACCAGTAATTATCTGCTTGGTGTTTTCTTTGCACACTCCATCACCAAACCTGGAGCATCTTAAATACCTCTTCCAGGAAGTAACTGGACAACCAAATATGTTGATCTGTGTGGTGCTGAAAAAATTAAAAAAAAAAAACATTAAAAAGTTAAGAATAAACATGCAAAAAATAATGCTTTTGTTAATTAATTACAGATTTACCTATTGCTTTTTTCAAGATTTAGCCAGTAATACCTTGTTTATAAAACATGCATCATTTATTTTTATTGCTAGCCATGCTTTTGTCGAAATATAAATAAAAATCAATTTAAATCAAAATTTATTTATTAGAAATTATTATAAAAGTAAATTAACCTAAATAACCTTCCCCTTGAGCTAAAAACTGAACTTTTGTTTAGTTTTTCTTTATGGATAAAATTATGTCAAATGTAATATTCCACACATTAAAATTCGATTTATGATATATTTTTGGGACACCCTAATGTGTGTATAAATAAACAAATAGACCTAAATCTGCAACAGTAAATATATATAATATAAATATGTAGTAAATATAAATATATAAAAAGAATCTCCAAATTTTTAAAATAGTGTTTCTATTTTTGTTTTTACCAGTATTGTGAGTAAGAAGCTGTTTCAGCGGAATCTTTGCTTTTCCTAAGATAGTTTCACTAGGTTTGCCTTCATTTGTCCTAAATAGCAACAATGAAAACAATCAAAGTTAATAGTATATATAATTTTTCTGATTGTTATGATGCCCACTTGGTAAAAGTGAAGCTACAATGAACTATAATGAATTATATTGAAATATACAAAATAAAGACCTAATAAATACACAAAATATTCCTGCTAAAATATAAATAAACTAAAAAAACAGATTTTAACATTTTTAATAATGCGTTAGATTTATAAATGTTTTTTTAAATGTTACTGGCTTATAAATATATATTTTTTAAATTGGTTTTTGAAAATGTTGCTATAAAAAAATTAATAATAATTTTATTTAGAAATTTAATTTTACATTTTGTTAATATAATAGTATACTAAAATAATATGTATTAAAATTGTTTCTAAATTATTATTTTCTTTAATGATAAAAAAAAAAAAAAACGTGTTTCTAAACTTTTTTTAATTTTTCACAAATTTACTTAGTTAAAAAGTTTTATCTGAACTCAATATATCTATATGAAAATGTAAGAGAAAAAGAAGAATTTTAAACATACATTTCCTTCTCAAAATTATTCTTAACTATAATATTATCAATATTTATTAATTTATGCTATTTCAATAAATTCTTATAAAAGGCATAAAATGATGACTGGTTTATTTTGAATCTAAGTTAAACAAGAAAAATGCATATTAAGGTAAAAGAAGTTTTAGGATCAGTAGGAAAAAAAAAGTAAATTATAAAAATAAATTAAAAATAATAATAAAAATGTGGGAGAATTGCAGATATAGACTTACTTGATGACCAGAATTCTCACCTGATGACCATAAATAGACTCTCACCTGATGATCAGAGATAGACTCTCACCTGATGACCAGAGATAGATTTAAAAGATTAAGATGGCATAAGAAGAGACTTGTTAGTCCTTGAAAAAGTAAAACCAAGAATTTTAAAGTTAATAGAATGAACAAAGCCTGTTTAAAATTTTATTTGAATTTAATTTTTAAAAAATGCTCGAGTGTTTACACCTATTATAAATGGTTTACAGCCCTATTTTATGGCTTATTGGTTTAACCAATTTATGCATACCACAGGATATAATGTTATCATTAATTTAAACAAAAATAATCTCAAAAAAAAAAAAAAAAAAGAATTATAAAAATTAATGTATTATATAGTAAGCCTATACAAAAGAGGTCACATAAAACTTTGACTACACAGACAATCATTTCATTAGTAAAATGCAATTGAAATAAAAAAAGTTTCTTAATTATATGAATAAAAATAAAAGTGGAATTTCATTATGATTTTAATACAATATAGCAAAATTCAAGACATTTGGAAAAAACAGTTTTAACAGAAATAAAAACAATCTTTACACAGATATTGATATTTGCAAATTTATTAAAAAATTAAAAAATAATTTTTCTGTTATATTAAGAAATTAATAAATAATTTCTGTTATATTAAAAAATCAAAAAAAAATTTCTCTGTTATATTAAGAAATTAAAAAATAATTTCTCTGTTATATTAAGAAATTAAAAAATAATTTCTCTGTTATATTAAGAAATTAAAAAAAAATTTCTCTGTTATATTAAGAAGTTAAAAAATAATTTCTCTGTTATATTAAGAAGTTAAAAAATAATTTCTGTTACATTAAGAAATTAAAAAATAATTTCTCTGTTATATTAGGAAATAAATCAAATGTTATCAAAAAAAAAAATGTTAATAGAAGCTATTCTTAATATTAACAGAAACTATATTTGAAAATTTTTTAAAATTATTTTAGTTTCAGAAAAGCAATAACTTATATAATCTAGGCAATAATTTTTCTTCATTTTTTTTTTTCTGCTTTCCTTAGCATATTTACTATACTTACTATAAATTTTTTACTATAAACGACACAAAATCAAGCAATGTAAAAGCGCTTGCTTCACAAGCAAGAAGTTTCGAGTTCAATTCCCGCCATGCCACTATAAGAGACACCAAATCAAGTGACAAAAAATTTAATAAAAAATGTTAAAGATTTTAATTTTGTTTACTTGAATTTAGTTAATTCGTGAAAATTTGTTCCATAAAATGAACCAAATACATGAAGATTTTAAATATATGAGGTGTCTTGCAGGAAAAGGTACCAAGTCTTATTTCTAGTTATGGAGATATTTGACATAATAGCTAGTCAGGTCAAAAAATTCAAAAATGAGATTATTGTTTTTTTTAATAGTTTTATCATATTACAATACATATCAGGTGTTTTATTGTAAAAAAAATTTTTTTGATAGCTGCAAAAAAGTATGTCTTTATCAGACCTGTTTTGAAAATGTTCTCTTCTCTAGAAGTAAAGAATTCCTTGTTAATTATTTTTTATACTGTATTATTAACATTTTAGCATGCCAGAGAATGAGCCTTTAGCTTCAACTTTGCAGGATGAACCGACAACCAAAAATGACATAATTGTTCTTGATAACACCAGCAAAACAATAACTCCTCTCCGTTCACTTTATTTGCAGTTATTTGAAAATGAAGATGAGGAAAAAATAAAAATCTTTATAAAATCTAGCTGTGCGTGTCATCAAAAAGTAAAAAATAAAAACTGTATGGCACGCTTCTTACATTCAGAAATCGCGAATACAGACTACAATGTTTTAAGATTGATGGGATGATTGAACATGAAAACAAACTGAATGACAATATTATTGCACAGTTAAGTGCTCTGCTTCACACAAGCAAAAGGCAAAAAAAAAATCAAATATTTTACACATATGTACACAATACTTTGCGCATTTCAGTAACTAGAAAGTCTAACACAGAACAATGAAAAAGTGCTTGCAAAGAAAGTCACAGAGCAATGAGAAAGTGCTTGCAAAAAAATATCAAACTAACAAAAATTAACAAAATAAATATGAAACTTACAAAACTTGACAAATTAGATAACCATTTGAAATTTCAATCAGCAAATCAGATTCATTGTTAACTTTTAGAGGTACTTCATATTGAAAATTAAATGTGGGTGAGTGTGATGCAGCAACAACACAACTTTCTACAAATGAGGTCTCTGAAAGAAATGATAAATGACAGCGCACATATGTTCTTACTCCATTTTCTAAATATTGATCATGATATTTGTGGTGCCTAAATACTTCATTCACAGCATCCTGCAAATAAAACAAATATTTCATTCACAGCATCCTGCAAATAAAAAAAATACTTCATTCACAGCATCCTGCAAATAAAACAAATACTTCATTCACAGCATCATTTAACAACTTTAAATTTGCATCTTTTAGTTTCAAAACTTACTTTAATAATTGATTATCATTTTCGTACTTACAACTGTTAACATATTTTATATAGTTGGCATATTTAAGTTTAATTAGTGTTTCACTTAAACTGATGTAGAATTTATTGATAGAAGTGAAGCAGGATCATTTGAAAATTACATTAGCTTGGCATATAATGTTTTTTGTAAAGCATTGGTTTGAAAAAGGGCAGGTATTCTTATTAGTTTAAAAAAAGGCAGGTATTCTTACTGGTTTGAAAAAGGGCAGGTATTCTTATTGGTTTGAAAAAGGGCAGGTATTCTTATTGGTTTGAAAAAGGGCATGTATTCTTATTGCCTTAACAAAACATTCTTATTGAGGTAGTTGCAGTTGGTTTTAGGTCAAATTTTGTTATTGCTTTTGTGGTGATTGTGTGCATTTAAAATAGATTTCATATTCAGCATACTTATTTCATCATGTTTCTGTTAAATATTTGGTGGAGCTTGTGATTTATTTAGAAGTGTATTTCAATTAAAGTTAAAAAGCCTTTTCCTACATTAATGCTGACATTTTTTCTGAAAGGAACCAAATGGTGTTACATTTACAATTCTTGGTGTGAGGTAAGTTTGAATTAGGGTGGAAAGTTTGTAATTAAAGACATACTTTAACAGTGTGTTATAGGAGTAGATCTTTGAAAAACTTCTGCAATCAATGAATTTGCAGACAATCTTAACTTAATTAAAGGCGGAAGCTATTTTAAAACATTGGGCAGTTGGTTTTAATCAACGTGAATATAGTTTAAAGAATTTCTAAGGCTTGGAATATGGTTGGAAAGTATGGTCATTAAGATTTACATCAAATGTTACATAAAAGTAATTTATAACTTTCATGCTGTACTGTATTGATATAGTAAAATCATTTTTTTAAATATATTAACAAAATGTTTTTTGATTTTTTTCATTTGGGGTCCACTCATATTTTTAAAATTGCTAAACCATCATCACAATATAAATTGTCTGCAAATTCATTGTGTGAAGAAATTTTATAATGATCTACTCACATGATGCACTGTTAAAGTCTGGCTTTAATTATAAACTTTCATACTGCCCTAATTTAGATTTACCTTGCACAAATCACTAATTTATTTAGCACTCCACTTTAAGTTCCATCATAATGTTACTTATTTTCATCTACTATAATGAAAAATAAATGAAAGAAAAGATTGGTGTCCCATTCCAAACCCTTAGCCAATGTAGTGTCACTTTTTAGCAGCAACAGACTATAAGATTGTCGAAATATATACTGCAGCCCCAGGCAGTAGGTAAAAATCAGTGAAAAAAAACCCCTCAAAATGGTGCAAAAATACCAATTTTTTATCACTACCAAAAGCATCAAAAGCATTGAAAAAGAATTTAAAATCAAAGTGAGTGCATGTACTATTCAAAATCAATTGAAAGAGAGTGGATTTAAAGCAAAAGTTCCACGCAAGAAATCATTCCTTTCAAAAACATATCATGACCGAAGACTTGCATTTGCTAAAAATTATGTAAACATGCTGGATTCTGGAAGAAAATTTTGTGGAGTGACAAGTTGAAATTTAATTTTGTGAAATCAGATGGAACTCAAAAAGTATAATAAAGGCCAAGCACTCATATTCAGTTGCAGTAAAATTTATTGGATGCAATATTATGGTCAGGGGATAGATGGCTTGGAACGAAACAGGAAAGCTGGAGTTTATTAACGGAATTATGGACTCTGAGGTTTTTGTCAACATTCTCGATAAACCATCTAGTCTCAACTAAAACATTTGATCATTTTAGCAAAAAAAAAAAAAAAAAAAAAAATATTTTTTATCCAGAAGCAGATTAAGTTACTTGAATGATCGGCTCAAAGTCTTAATCCAATTGAACACTCTGAATCAAAAAAATAACACACGATGTCTAAAAAGAAAAGAAGAACTAAAGACCATGCTTCAAGAAGCTTGGACTCAAATCAATCCAGATACCGCAAAGAAATTAGTTGAACCCATGTAAACTTAACTTCATAAAGAATTGAATTTGCAATAGTTATTAAAGCTAAAGGTCCAACTCAATGTTGACAAAAAATTTATTTACGTGGAGAAACGTAACATATATAAAATTTTGTTTGGATACTTATTTAACCTAATAAAAAAAAAAAAATAGTTTGTGCATCGTCAAGTTTTTACCAATTAAAGTTAATTGTTGTAACTTTTTTTCTTATTGAATTCTTTATTTGCTTTCATAATAATCATAAATTTTTTCATTATAAACTTTTTTTTTTAAACCTAAAGTACCATTTTTTATATGTTACTTTAAGTTTCATGCCAATATGCAGGGTTTAAACAGGTTCTTAATAAAAGATTTCTCTGACTTGAATTTAAAAACATAAGTAACTTTTTTCCTCGAACCTTACTTGTTTCCCATGACTCGTTAACTGTTAGATCTAGAAGTTAATTTCCACATTTTTTGTTGTTATTCTATTTTGTCAAAATTTTTTTATGTAACAAATTTTATTTATAATGTTCTCTGTATTATCAGCGTTATATCAATGTATGACTTTCCCTATATAACGTTATAAATATGTGTTACTTTTAGATTAAAAGATGTCAACTTTTGTGCCTGAAAAACGTCATTTGCGGGAATTCTTTTCTTTTCCGTCTCAAGAAAGCCACTGATGTGCACCAAATGCATGCTTACAGTGATGCTTCTCCATCCATAAAACCTGACAAGATTGTGTCAGCATTTCAAATTGAGCAATTTTGATGTCAACGACATAGATCAGCCAGGATAGCCATAAACAACTTTAAGTGTTATTGGATGAAGATTTGGCTCAAACACAGGAGTAACTCGTGGTATCTCTCAACATCATACAAAAAAGTCATTTCTCTTTGATTGAAAGCAATGGGGAAGATTCAGAAGGAAGGAATATGGGTGCCCTATGAGCTGTCAGAACGCAATAAAGAGCAGAGAAAAACAACTTCACAAATCTTGCTGGACAGATTCCAAAGAAAGTTGTTTTTGCACCACATCATAATTGGCAATTTATCATTAAAAACAATTATTCTGTAGAGAAAAATAATTGCTACAATAAAGTAATATCTTTAAACAAAGAAAACAATTTTCGCATCATTTTTTTCCTTTTTTTCTTCCAAAATTTCAACTATCTTTTCCAAAGTTTAAATTTCAATGTGTTTTTCTTTGCTCTTGTTTTTCAAACCGTTTTTTTTTAATTACTAATCCCATATCATTTTTTTTTTAATTACTAATCTCATTTTTTTCCTCCACCTCTTTTTTGATATAAATTCAATATTTAAATTATTGCAAGAATCTAAAAGGACTTTTTTTTCTTTACTATACCACTGATTTCTATGGTTACAATTTCTAACAGTTGATTGCGTTTATTTTGCTCAGCATTCTTATTCTCTTGTTCAAGGTCTAGCTGCTATTTTTAGCATGCACCTTTAACAAACTTTATGAACTTGTTGGTTCTATTGTTGCAGGTATTAGGTTGTTCTTTTGCATATGATCTACTATCATCTATCTTGATATCATCGATCTTTTTTTCAAACTAACTTTGGATACAATCTTATCTCTATAATGAATAGCCGAATGAATATTATTATTATTAGTGCGCATAGTTACGCATTGTTACGCCTATTGTTCGTTTTGTTAATTACGGTTCTGCATTATGTAAAATACACTATTTCTTTAGTTTTGAAGTTGTTTCTAACTTTTCTAAGCGCAGTTATATATTCCATGCGGTCTTTCGAGTAAAATCAGCAAGCAAATTGGAGCTGATGCACTTATTTTCAAAAAGAATTAATGTTTATTTTTTAAAATAAAAGTTTAATTGTTAGTTTGTTGTTGCTTATTTTTATTTTTTCTAATTTTTATAGTCTGTTTTTATTTTTTAGAAGAAGTTAGAAATAAAATGTTTGGTAAAATAGTTTTTTTAGTAAAATGTTTCTTTTTTAGTAAACTGTTTCATTTTGTCGTTAGTCTTTTTAAAATATTTTAAGCAAGTATTGTTTTATTTTTAAGAGCAGTTAAGAAAAGCTGATGGTTTTTTTAGTAAGTTCAATTCGTTTTGTTATTTATAGATAAAGATTGTTTTTTGCAAAAAGAATTATATATAAAATAAAGTTTTATATATGTATTTAATATGAAAAGTTAAATAAAATAAGACTGTTATTTGTGTTCATGTAAGCTTATATACATAAGTTTGCATTTATTTTAGTCTATTTTATTTTTCTCTATATCTATACTATATGTATATTTTCTCTTAGCAAAAGTTATTCAGAATAGAAAAATAAAAAAAATTCTTCTGGAATTTGTCAAAAGAATGTTGTGTTATGCTTCATTTTAAGGTATCTAATTATGTATTTATTTTTCATTTTTTAGAAGAAGTTAGAACTAAATTGACTGGTAAAATAGTTTTATTAGTACAATGTTTCTTTTTTAAGAAAACTGTTTCAGTTTTGTCATTAGTCTTTTTAAAACATTTTAAGCAAGTATTTGCTTTATTTTTTAGGGCAGTTAAGACGAAATGATTGCTTTTTTAGTAAGTTTACTTCATTTTCTCATACATAGGCTAAAATTTTTTTATATAGAAAGAATAATGAGAATAAAATTTTATTTATGTATTTAATATGAAAAGTTAAATAAAATAAGACTGTTATTTGTGGTCATGTAAGTTTATATACATAAGTTTGCGTTTATTTCAGTCTATTTTATATTTCTCTATATCTATATATATATTTTCTCTAAGGAAAAATAATAAGGAATAGAAAAATTTAGAAAATTTGCTCTGGAATTTGTCAAAAGAGTGTTGTGTTATGCTTCATTTTAAGGTATCTAAATATATATTCATTAGAA